TGTCAGCTGTGGGGGGGTTGTCAGCTGTGGGAGGCTGTCAGCTGTGGGTGTGGAGGCCATCAGCTGTTGGGGGGCCACAGACAGTGCGAGAGCTCCAAGGGGAAGCTGAGTTCTGCTGTGATGGCCTGAGGGGCAGGGCCAGATCTTGGGGGGGGGTTGGGCTCAACAAATTTTTTGTACATGTGTGCATGCGTGTGTGCATGCATGTGTGCATGTGTGTGTGGTGTGGGCACGTGGTGTGTGTGGTGTGTGTGGTGTGCATGTGCGTATGCGTGTGGTGTGTGGTGCATGTGTGGTGTGCATGTGCATATGCGTGTGGTGTGGTGTGTTTGGTGTGTGTGCGCGTAGCCTGTGTGGGTGTGTGTGGTGTGTGCGGTGTGTGCGGTGTGTGCGGTGTGTGCGTCGTGTGTGTGCGTGTGCGTGGTGTGTGTGTATGTGCATAGTGTGTGTGCGTGTGTGTGTGCGTAGTGTGCGTAGTGTGTGTGCGGTGTGTGCGGTGTGTGTGTGTGCGGTGTGTGTGTCCGTAGTGTGCGTGTGTGTGGTGTGTGAGCATGTGTGTGCGTGTGCGGTGTGTTTGCGTGTGTGTGTGGTGCATGTGTGTGTGGTGTGCGTGTGCATGTGGTGTATGTATGTGTGCGTGTGTGCGGTGCCTGCGGTGTGTGCATAGTGTGCGCGCGCGCGTGTGTGCATGTGTGGTGTGTTTGTGCATGCGTGCGTGTTCATGTGGTGTGTGTGCATGTGTGCGTGTGTATGTGCATAGTGTGAGCGCGCGTGTGTGCGTAGTGTGTGGCGCGTGCGGTGTGCGTAGTGTGTGTGCGTGTGTGGTGTGTTTGTGCATGCGTGCGTGTTCATGTGGTGTGTGTGCATGTGTGCGTGTGTATGTGCATAGTGTGAGCGCGCGTGTGTGCGTAGTGTGTGGCGCGTGCGGTGTGCGTAGTGTGTGTGCGTGTGTGGTGTGTTTGTGCATGCGTGCGTGTTCATGTGGTGTGTGCGCATGTGTGCGTGTGTATGTGCATAGTGTGTGTGCGTGTGTGGTGTGTTTGTGCAGGCGTGCGTGTTCATGTGGTGTGTGCGCATGTGTGCGTGTGTATGTGCATAGTGTGTGTGCGTGTGTGGTGTGTTTGTGCAGGCGTGCGTGTTCATGTGGTGTGTGCGCATGTGTGCGTGTGTATGTGCATAGTGTGTGTGCGTGTGTGGTGTGTTTGTGCAGGCGTGCGTGTTCATGTGGTGTGTGCGCATGTGTGCGTGTGTATGTGCATAGTGTGTGTGCGTGTGTGGTGTGTTTGTGCAGGCGTGCGTGTTCATGTGGTGTGTGCGCATGTGTGCGTGTGTATGTGCATAGTGTGTGTGCGTGTGTGTGGTGTGTTTGTGCATGCGTGCATGTGCACGTGGTGTGTGTGCGTGTGTGCGGTGTGTGTGGTGTGTGTGTGTATGTGCATAGTGTGTGCGTCTGTGTGCGTAGTGTGCGGTGTGTGTGTGTAGTGTGTGTGCGTAGTGTGCGGTGTGTGCGGTGTGTGCGGTGTGTGTGTATGTGCATAGTGTGTGTGCGTGTGTGTGTGCGGTGTGTGCGGTGTGTGTGGTGTGCGTAGTGTGTGTGCGTGTGTGTGTGCTTGTGTGCTGTGTATGCGTGTGCATGTGGTGTGTGCGGTGTGTGCGTGTGTGCGGTGTGTGCGTGTGTGCGTGTGCATGTGGTGTGCGCGTAGTATGCGGTGTGTGCGTAGTATGCGGTGTGTGCGTGTGTGCGGTGTGCTTGTGTGTGGGGTGTGTGCGTGTGTGTGGGGTGTGCGTGCGTGCGGTGTGTGCGTGTGCGGTGTGTGCGTGTGTGCGGTGTATGCGTGTATGTGGTGTGTGCGTGTGTGCGGTGTGTGCCTGTGTGCGGTGTGTGTGTGTGCTGTGTGTGTGTAGTGTGTGTGCGTGTGTGTGGTGTGCGTGTGCATGTGGTGTGTGCATAGTATGAGGTGTGTGCGGTGTGTGCGTAGTGTGCGGTGTGTGCTGTTTGTGCGGCGTGTGCGAAGTGTGCGGTGTGTGCGTGTGTGCGGTAAGCGTAGTGTGTGTGCATGTGTGTGTGCGTGTGTGTGTGTGCGTCGTGTGCGGTGTGTGCGCGTGTGTGGTGTGTGCGGTGTGTGCGTGTGCATGTGGTGTGTGTGTGCACGTGTGCGTTTGTGCGGTGTGTGTGTGTGCAGTTTGTGTCCGTAGTGTGTGTGCGGTGTTTGTGTCCGTAGTGTGTGTGTGTGTGTGTGGTGTGTGTGTGCATGCGTGCGTGTGTTTGCGTGGTGTGGCCGGTGCCTTCCCTCGGGCTCTGGGCCCAGTGCCCCGGAGGACGTACCTGGCCCGGCCTGAGTGCTGGGCCTCCAGTGGGTCCCCATCCCGGTCGTCTCCAGGCCCCGTGCCCCGGCGTGGAGCCAGGAGCCGTTGCAGGTGCGGCTTCGTGTGCACTGGCCGCACGTGTTCCCGCTCGGACCCCGGCCATGCAGGCTCGGGGAGTGTCTGCCTACCGACCCGGCTCCCTGCGGAGCTGCTGGGGCTGTTTCTGAAGGGCCTTCGGTCCAGTGTCCCCCGTGTTCGTGGCTGGAGGGGCCTCTGCCTCATGCGAATTTACCACGAGGAGACAGACGCGTGTGGCGTGCTAGGCATGCGGTGGCCTGCACAGTGGCCGCTCGGCAGGAAGCTGCGTGGGGCGGGAGCGTCTCAGGACTGAGCCCGCGAGCCAGACTGAGGTCGGGAGCAGATTCTTCAGGAGTGACCGCCCACATCTTGATGCACACCAGGCCCTCAACTCCATGGGCGCCACTCAGGAATCACCGAAATCCTGATCTGCTGCCTCCCCTCTCACTGGTAGCCAGTCCGCAGGCCCTGGTCGGGGTGCACACGGCCCCAGGCCCTGGTCGGGGTGCACACGGCCCAGCACGTTGGCCTGTGAGCTGGAGGCGCATTTCTGTGGCCCGTCCTGGGCTCGCTGGGCCAGCGGTTCTGGTGGGACGACCTCGCCCAGGACTGAGGCGGGGAGGGGGCACCTGCCTAGGCCCCACATGCTAGACACGTGTGGTCTCTGCCGCCTGAGCCCACGCCAGGAGCAGACTGATGGGTAAGAAAACCGCTCTCATCCCCAAATAGAGACCATTGCGTGTGGAAGCGGCACTTTAATGTGGCTCAGTTGGATGCATACACCCCCCACAGCACAGGTGCCCTGGACCGCAGGAGCTGGAGTTACAGCCGGTATATGCTTCCTGTGTTCAGAGAAGTTAGCCTCTGTGAATCATGGAGATTTCCAGATAGAGAAATAGCTCTGGGGAAATTACAGCGAGTTTACAGCACACGCACACACGACATTAAAGACACAAACGATATTTTGGCATCTTTCTCCCGTTCGGCAGGTCACTTTCTCAAGGCTTGTGGCATCTGCTGGGGCTGGAGCCGGGCAGGGGCGGGAGGGGACGGGGCCACACTGCCCCTTTGCACCGACCGCAGGATGACACTGCGCGTGCAGCCGCCGTCCTCAGACCTGGCTGTCCTGAGTTAATGGCTGGGATTTCTGCTCTCTCTGGCATGGGGTAGTCAGGCCGACACTCATGGCCACGTTGGCAAACCTGCGCCACCTCCCGCGGCTTGTCTGTGACAGCAGTGGCCAACCTCAGCGGCCGGTCCGACCTGCGGGGAGGCGCTGGTGGTCTCCGCTCGCAGCTGCTCTGCTCGCACGGAGAGAGGCGTGGGGGGCGGCTCCAGGGCGCCCGTGAGAGGGGCGCTGATGGGACGTGGGCTCTTTGGGAACCTCGCGAGGGCCCCACGCCCGACCGGTCCCCTGATGTAGGCTTTCCCTCAGGAAAGTGTTCGTCGGTGTCTGCTGTGTGTAAACCCGTTTCTACAGCTGAAAATGCTCCCAAGGTTGGGGCTCACGTACGATCTTGCCGAGGAGACCTGTCACCCCTGCGTGGCTGGGAAGTGCTTGCCCCTGGGGCCCTGCCCCCCGCAGCTGGAGCGTGTGGCGGTGAGCAGTGCTCAGGGGAGGGCGGCCGCCCAGAGCAGGAAGGATGCTGGGACAATTTCGTTGTTATTGGTCCCAAAGCTGCAGGTCACCAGTTCTGTCCATCTCGCTCCTGACAGGCCCGGTCTCTCCTCGGAGGAGCCTCCTAATGACAAGCGCCCCCGCCCCGCCCCCCGCGGCCGATGACCTGGGAAGTTACAGGTCACAGGCCGCCTCCCAGGAGCACACATACGTGAGCCGCGCAGTGGAAACACAATAGTATTTGCGACTGAGAGCGAGAACTGAACTTTAAGGAAAATGGAATTCTTTTCAAGACGGCGAGGATAGATGGACAGGTTGCCCCCCAAACTGGACGATCCCACAAACCTCTCTTCATTATTATTTAATTGAACAAAAATGCACATTTTTAGCTGCTAAGCTGTAGTGCCTATGGGTTTGGGGGCCTTGTTATTGGGCAGTTACACTGGAGACGCTTATTTGACACCGCGACCCCCGCGGCTGGCGGCCGGGCGGCAGGCCGCTCACTGGGGAAGGGCCTTGAGGATGGCGTTGACCTCCTCGGCCACCGCTGTCAGCGCGAACTCGAACTGCGCCTGTGGGACGAGAGGGGCTGAGTCACAGGCAGGTCCTCTGAGGGGGCCGGACAGGGAGGGCAGGCTGGGCAGGGCAGTCACAGTGACGCCCAGCGGGGATCCGGCCCTCAGCCCCTGCCAGTCAGTTACCCCAGCTTCAGGAATCAGCCACCCCCTGCCCTACCCTTGCCCCCTGCCCTGGAAAGACCGGAGCTGAGGCATGGGGGTCTGTGAAGGGCACTTGTACATGATATGTATCATTTGTGCAATGTTTTCCCAGGTGTAAAATAGTTTCAAAATAAAATTTATAATTTTAAATAAAAAATGTCTTTTTAAGAAACTTCAAGTGTGTCCTGCACCCGCATACTTCCCTATTGGCCACATCAGATCCCGGCCGCTCCGCCTGCCCTGGCCGGAGGTGTTCGCAGTGACCTTCCAGGTAGGGACTCCATCGTCCTCTCTCCCTTCCAGCTCCAACACTGCATGGTCCTGTCTAACCCTCTAACTGTCAGAGAGAGGACCGAGGGGCCACTCGCACTTTGCGGGGGAACGCAAGGCCAGAGGCGACGGTTCCCTGGTCCCAGGACTGGGCCGCCCGGCTCCAGGCACCACCTGCCCGCATCTTGGCAGCTGATGTCACAGCAGCACTTTTACAACCAGGTCCTGAGGATGGGCAGGCGGCGTGGAAAGGCTTCTCTCAGGGCGTGAGCCTCTGTGGGCACCAGGAGCGAGAGCGGCCGGACACACCCAGCCAGGGGCCGCGGTGTGGGGTGGGCGTGGGGCGGTGGTGGGAGAGGGTCATTTCTGGAATGCATTTCACCTGGTTCTAGTCCTGGTTCCCTGGAGGCAACGTGGTCTTGTCTGCACCCCCCATGCTGCCAACTCGGCCTGTGCGGTGGGTGTGCACAAGAGCTATTTAGGGGTGCTCGGAGGCCCCAGTGCACCCGGGGACACTCTGTGGCCCCGTCCCAGAGCTGTGGCTGTGGGAGCTGGGAATTGGGACTGCGCAGAATCTGGGAGCTCCCCTGCCAGGGTGTGGGGCTAGCTCTGACCTCTTTCTATAAAAACGTGGTGTCTCCCCAGCTCCCCAACTTCTGGGGCCTAGACAGTCTGGCGGCGGGTGGGGCTGTGCCGGGCGCCTCCTCCCTCCTCTGGGGCCCCTGGGCCCCGCACCCACGGCGGGGAGTACCTTGGTCTGGACCATGCCTGGCCTCTGGTCCCTCAGGTGCTCCAGGGTGGCTGCGATGTCGATCTCTTTAGCGCCTGCAAGACACCAATAGGCCGATTCAGATGGGAAGTCCCGGACACAGACCATCGCGTGGCCCCTCTCCGGCCCACGTGCCCCGGGTCCGAGGGCCACGCCCACCCTCCTCCGGCAGGGCTGCGCCGGTTCCCAGGACACAGCCGGCGGCTCCGACCCGGAATGGAGGGACCTGGGCTGAAGAGTCCCACGCCCGCCATCGCCACGGACACAAACGCATCTCCAAGAGCATCCCACAGTGTCCACGTCGCGTGCAGGCTTTATTTCTTGGCGCACAGGCTTTGATGTAGAGAAATGAACAGCCAGACCGTCACATTCACCTTGTCGGCCTGTACACGTCGCGTGCCCCATGCTGAGAGAAGGCGCAGGGACGGCGGGTGCCCCTGTGCGGTTCTGC